ATAATGATTCAACCATTTTTTTTTTTTTAAAGCACTAAGTACTATAATTGATTAAATATAAAAACCTTAAAATAAACAAAAACAAACAATAAACATATTAAATCACTATTTTTACTACAGTTACAATTTATTTGAAATTTAATTATATTGATCTGTTATAACGTATAAGTTGTAATCATTAAAAAAAAAGTGACATACACACGATATCAATTCCCCCGAATTTGTATCGACTTTTTTATAGCTGTATTGGCATAATACATATATATACTGGTAAATACTAAATACATAATGAATATAAATAATAATATTTCGATTATTAATGATTACTTTAATTTAATGCAGCTTATCAAAGCTAATGGCTAGTACACTTTTGAATCAATGAAATACGATGGAATTGACACAATATAATCTATTATTTTTTATATAATAGAATATAAACCGTAGCTTAGTAATTTAGATTTAACCTTAGCTTTAAATAATAGTTTTTTTTTTTTTTAAACACGATATTTTGGGTGAATCAATAAATCCTAAAAAAATACCGGGTCTGGCTGTGTCGTAAGTACAAACGGATAACTTGAATACGTTTACAATGTTCGACAATGGACAAGATATAGTTTTATTGTCATTGATATCGGAAATATAGGGAGGAAGGAAGAAAAGTAGGTAGGAAATGCAATGTGTACTTCTTCACATCCAAATGATAATATTTGATTCGACATCATTCAAATTGAATCAATAATTTAGATTCTTTTATCATATTCACATAATGTAATCCATATTGAAATTAATCGTAGATAAATTCCAATGTAAATGTTCTGTGCTCAAACGCAAATAAGCACATCATTTGTTTTTTTCACTTAGAATTTATCATCGGGTATGTAATTGGTATAGGTATATTGTATTTGATCAAAGCATTTGAATACTTATCAAATTGAACTATGCTATATTAATTAACATACATATTAATAAATAGTACCTATAATTAATTCTCATGAATATTGTTCGATATCTCCGGCCATTCCCAAGTTTTCCCGGGAATTTCATCCGAGTTACATTCCCAGAAATGGACTTACCTTAATCATATTTCGTGGGGGATAAAAATGAATATGGAAAATGTGAGGTTCTTTTGGGATTATCGTGATATGCTATGACTATAGCATGATAACCGATGAATTATTGTTGTAATAAGAAGTTTATATTATAATAATTATGTATTTGTCTTGCGTACGAAATATAATAATCTCCTTAGACGACAGCTTCCGGCACAATACAAAAGTAAGTACAGGTGCGCTCACGAAAAAAACCATCCGTATATACTACGACATAGAAAACCACACTCCGTAAAAATACGTATAACATTATGCCGGTGCAATAAAAATAATAATAATAAAATATTATTATATTATGACAGCAATAGTAATAATAATAAAATATTACTTTATTATGGTATACATATAATAGTATCACTTTATTATGAATTATGATACACTTATTAATGACATGCAGGTCATCGCACGGCAAGTGATGACACACGGAACGGCGGTGTTGCGACAATCGGCATATTTTGTGACCTACGTGCGACAAATCGTATGCGACAGGCGGCCACGCACGACTTCACGAGAGACCGTTCGTTATTGTGATCACCGGCCACCACGTGTGATAAATATATTCTCAGTTGGCAAACCACGTGGCCGTCCGCAACAGCACGGGTCCGTGGCCCGGCAATGTGACCATACTCGCATTATACAATAATATTGTCAATGCGTTTCGTGCGAGATCTGATCCACCTCTACGCTGGTTAGGTTAGCTGGTTAGGCTGACTCATCGGTATCCAGCTGCAGGTGGCCCTCGATTATGATATTATTTGCGACTGAGGGCCACGCATGTCGCTAGTCAGGCACACGCAGTTCGTGTGCTAAGGCTGTTCCGTATCAGAGCAGTAGTTGCGGCTCGTCGCTTCGTTGCGGCCAGCCAGAACCACTATATAGTCACTGTTTAGAGACCGCACCTTCAGCGGTGACATATTGATATCATATAACGTCTTGACATCCTAGTCTATACTTAAGTCGGCGATGCATCACGAGACGTTCAGTTCGCCGGGTAGACACATGACCGCCATGCTCATGTCAACGACACATGGCCGTCATGTCGCCATACACTCGTATTATATGGACCTACTGCGTGGTCAGCCGACGATTAGAATATATAACCGCGGTCGTGTCAAACAGTTTTTATCCTGTCCGTTATGACAGTTTTATCGTGTCCACTAAACGCTTGTTCCGCGTGCACGAAAAATGTTCAGACATGTCCAACAACACGGTAACGCGGTTAATCTTGTGGTTACCTAACCCAATCAACCAATCACGAGGACTTAAGCGAATGTGTATAGTGGAAACCCGCCTTTACGAACAACTATCGACGTTTTTAAACCGCAGAGAACGTCCTGCACACAAAGAGGACGTGTGTCCTATAATAAAATTAATATTATTTGTTTGCACTTCGGTTTATTTATTATTATTAACATTTCTGACGGCGGTCCGATCTTTTCCCGCGCCATCGCTATCCTGAACTGTTTGCGCCGGCATATTATAGGCCTTGGCGCCTAGTTATTATTATTGTTATTAAATACAGACATTCTTGAGTTATTAGTTTATTACTATTGAAATTTATCGAAAACTAATCATCGATATAATATTCTACTTCGCAATATCATCTCCGCTCCTCCCCTCATTCGTCTCATTTACGGATCAGAAATCTGTATAACAATATACCTAAAATATTTGTCACCCGACAAGACCTCACACGCACTAACATGCCTACATCGTCATGATTAAAATTAATTTGAATTAGAATTTAAGGTTGGTAATCAAAAGCAAAATAATTCGACACCTGAGTCGATTCGGTAGATTGCGATGTATTCTACTTTTTGTTATGATTTTTGAAAAAACCTAGAAGGCATGTAAAATTCGTCAGTCATCGTGCTAAGAAATTAGATTTAAGTATGATTCAAAATAATATTTTCTGTGTCGGAGAATTTTGAATTTTTTTTTGGTATCAAAAATAACCTAATTAGAACATAAATTGAAATGTGAAAAGATTTTAAAATGTTTATAACTTTTTTTGTATTAATGGTTTTAAAATATACATATAAACGGTACGACACAACAAATATGTTTTTCTTTCTCACATATTAATTTGATTTTTTAACCATGAATAGAGCTTGAACGGTTCTTTTTCAAACCAAATGGTTTTTACTGGAACTTATTTTAGGTGGGTGGCGTCCTTTTACGTGTCTTGAACTGACTATGAAATATATTTTATTATTTTATTTTCGTATATATTCAAAAATAAATACACTCTTAAAATAAAATCATTTACACGACATATTTATAATAATAAATAATAATTGTGGCAACAAAACACAAAAGCAAAAATATAATGGATATATACAACAAAAAATAAACAGCTAAGGTAAAATACCTGGTAAAAAGGTATAGATAACATATATTTTAGATTACGTCATTTGATCATATTCGATCAATAAATGAATTTGTTATTTTATATGCATTTTTTATTTTTTTATTTTGGCCAGGTATTTTTACGAAAACATCATACTCTGTGTTTGTCAGATTCATCTGCACTTCCGCAACTATTAAGTATACGTAAGCTCATTATATAAGCGTTTTTTTTGTGTGAGTGCATCGCGTACTTGTATACATATAAATAATATATTTCATTCACCCGAATACGTCTTATACGAATGTTAAAGTTTTTATTTTCAACTTGACACTTCTTCAATAACTCTAAAATTTTAATCTGAGAGCGTTCAAGACTGAAATTTAGTCAATCACTGACAAATAAATATTATGTATAGAATATCTGGAACGATCTCTATACAGTACTATATTTTCCATCAATTTCTATACTATATAATTAATATGTACCTTCGTAAATATTTAATATACTTTAATACTTTATCATCTCTTTGAACTACGTTTGATATTATGTCCATAAAATCGCAAACATTTCCGTTTCAAGTCATTCACGCTTTTTTTTATGATAACATTATTATATATATATATATATAAATCAAAGTATTTTTTTTCGTATATATACAACCAAATCCAATGACTACGAGGCACAAAAAGAGCATTAGACTTAATTTTACCAGGTTTCTAGATTTTAATATTTCTGCTGTTTTACATTAATCGCCTCGCGCTCATTCAACACGCATAATACTATTGATTATACGTCTCAGGATAAATCCTTGAAAAAGTATCACTGTATCAGCCAACTATGTCGATACAAATGTATAATATTGTTAGATTTATAAACAGTTCCATTTATGCATAAATAAGGTATTGATAACTTATTTCTCAATAGCCTCTGTTATAAATAAAACAATATGCAATATACATATATAAATAAATAATATTAAACCGAATTATCAAAGTTATTTTACGCTTTAAAATTGTAAATATATAATTTATAACACACAAACAAATGGACCTAGGTATAAAGACAAAAGGGACTAAACTAAGATATCAAATAATAGTTTGAACCGTTAAACTATAAAATAAATATATTAATTTTTCCGAGTATTTTATCGTAGTAATTTAATAGTTCTTCAAACACAAAAACAGTAGATATTTGTAAATTGTTGGCGAACAATCAAAATCGCACCCAACGTGAATTTCGATTTATACTTTTTGAGTTTAATTTTAGTAAATATAAAATATTTCATAGCTGAAAACATCAATTAAAAAAATACTAAATAGTAAATATAATGTATCGATATAAATGTATATATAATCAATGCTAAAAATAATATATGCTTCGATACCATTTGTATGGTATAATAATATAGGTATGTACCGTTTGGTCGGCTCGACCATAGCTGTCCGCGACATCAGAATAATGTCGTCTCGTGTATGCCTTTACTGGTCGGTCATCTGTAGCAACCGCAATAATAATGGCTTATGAATTTTGATTTTTTTCAGCTCCAACCCGACGTTGTTCTGGATGGCCATTGTCCATCTGACGTTGACGTCCCTCGTGCTGTTCGCGGTTGGCGCGATCGCTTGGCTGGACTGCCACCACGACCCGGACTGACAAGAGCTGTACACGGGCCACCGTTCGGCCGATGCACCGATGTCGTCCCGACCGACGACCAGCAGCTCGGTGACCATCAGCATGACAACGTTCACGCCCGACCCGCAATCGTCGTCAGTCGGTCATCGGCTCACACCCGGGCCCAGCCTGTTGGTCAGGTCCTGTTAGCGCGGCGGCGGCGCTGACCGGAAATCCGTTTTCCATCGTCCTGCCACGACGGCGATTGTAATATAATGTTATATTGTGCGACGACCGGTGCCGCACTCGAGGGACGACCGGCCGACGATAGCGTCACGGGAACGAATAAACTTTGGTCATTTGTCGTTGTCGTCGTTGTCGTTTTTTTTATATTATTATTATTATTATTATTATTATTATTATTATTATTGTTGTTGTCCGCTACCGTTTTATTGTTTCAACGCGCGTCGACATTATACGACCGTCATGCGAAACGATCGGGTATACCCAAACGTTGTGGATACGAATTCCCCATAAATTAAATTAGTTTAAATTAAAAAAATGTTAGAAAAAAGTCTGAATTAGATTAAAAACGAGAAGACACTCATGACTGCAAACGGGTTTTCTGAGTTACTCGCGTGTACAGTAATTTATTGTTTAAGTGTTATTTTGAATTATGCCGAGAATTGCGGCGAAATACATTTTTATGTTCAGTTTTTTCTACTACTTATGTATTAAGAGTAAGAAAATGTATTATTTTTAGAAGAGATATTTTTACTGCATTTCAAATAAGGCATTATAAGTGTTAGTAATTTTCTAATAATTAACATTCTTAACATTTCAAGATAAATAAAAACCAAGTCCTATATTAGCTAACAATCGAAAAACTTATTCCTAATTTTTTGTACTCCATTGCTTCACATAATTGTCTATTTTAAAAGATATTTAAAATGGTTTATAATTCCAAATAATTAAAATAATTTTAAAAATGTAATAAAAATAAATTCATGACATTATTTTTAATTTCAATCACCAAATAAAAATATTAACTTTCAATCATTGTGCTATATCAAATAATTATTATATAGTGATATAATATTGCACCATTTTTTTTAGAAAAAACTATAAATAAAAAAAATATAGAAACCAATAATGTTAATGTCGACAACAAGGACTAATGATTTTTTTTAACAACAGAATCTATATCATTATCAAATGTATATAGTTCACAAGTTATCCAACAATGCAATGATAAAAAAATTCCATCAAGTCATAATAAATGTTAGAAAATATAAAATTGTGTTTATTAAATTAAATACTGCTTATCTTTGAAGTATTATTTTAATTTTAAACAACTACTGTTCATAGTTGATTTTGAATTTCAATAGAATCAATAAAATTGGTATGTATGAATAAATTAAATCAAACAACATATATATTTATAACTTTTTAGATTAATTTGTCACACTTATTCGCTCAATATTTTTACTAGGAGGTGTATTAATTTAAACAAAACCTACCTAATATAAATTGTTGGTTGTATTACTGACTTAAATGTTTTATTTACTACATATGCCTATACTATATTCACATCGCGTTACCTATATCACTATAATTGGTATAATAATTTTAAGGAGACACTTCAGTATAATATGCCTTATGTAAATAAAAGTCATTGATAGGTATTATGCAATTATAATAATAATATGTAAAATGTAAAATTAATTTTCATTGTTTAACCTAGTCTACTAATTACCCATGTGTCGATCGTTAATCATAAATTAGTTTAGAAATAATATGATAAGTTATTTGTAATTTATTGAATCTGTGAATTTATATACCTATTATATTGAATACATGATAATATGTACAGTGTACACACTATAACGTTTAATTTTATAGTGACGTTGTTAATTTGTATGATTTAGACTAAATACCATTTTTTACAACATAATTTTGTTTATCATTTTCACACGTAATATATTCTGCTTAGTGCCTTTTTAACAAAACAGCTGTGTATAAGATATTGAATAAATTATATGAGTACTTTTACGGCTATTTTATTTATACATAACGTCAAATACAACTTTAAAACATGTCAAATTAATAGATACTTAATTTAATGCTTTGATTTATTGCCAATTGGTAGGTATCTCATATAAAATAGGTTAGAAAAACAAGATTGTTACAAAATATTATGGTTCCACATGAATATCATCAACATTTAATTTATATTTGTACTGCAACCTAAAATACATCAACGAAATTTGTAAAAAATCTCTACAGTATAAATTGTAAAACTAAAAAGCTGGGAAGTCACTCTGCTAGATAGTAGGTGTTATAAATTATCAACTAATAATATACTTTTAATAGCAATCTGTCATCAACTAATAAGTTCATACTACAAAACGTTGTGAATATAGAATCGTATGGTATTATAAACAGCTTAAAATTAAACACAATATTTTTAAAACGTCATTATTGTGTATAGTGAATAATAATAAACATACGGGCTACGGGCATGGCAAAAAGTTTCGATTCTCTACGAAACGATATTTATTCTCTAAGGTTATACTTGTTTTCTATCTGAAGTTATATCTTTTAATTTCGAAAATGTTAATTTTTTCGAACTTTAGTGCTGACAACACCTATTGATTGATATTTCCATGCATATTTTATATTTTTTTGTATTTTGCGGTGGAAGGTATTCCGTGCGAGTTTCAAAACTAAGCTAGAAAGTTTATGGCACCAGTAAATTACATTTTCGCAAAAGAAAAAATGTTGAAAATGTTAGTTTTAATTATTATAGCTCGAATGTCACTCGTCCGTATAACATTATCCTGTAATGTTATTATAGTACACAGTACACACGTCGCGGTTGTGTGCAGGACGTTTGCTGTGATTTAAACATGTCGATAGTTGTTCGCAATGGACAGGATGAAAACTGTTCGTCGGGACCACGGTTATATTCTGATCGTCGGCCGACCACGCAGTTAGTAGGCGTATGATGATTCCAACATGTCGGTCATACGTCATCGACATAAGAATGGCACGGCGCGTCCATCCGGCGAACTGGACGTCTCGTGATGCATCACAGACTTAAGTAAAGACTCGGATGGCACGCGCTCGTATGTTAGCACGTCACCCCTTAAGGTACGGTCTGCAAGCTGCAACTATATAGTGGTTCTGGCTGGCCGCTGTAACGACCCTCGACGACTGCTCTGTTACGGTGAAAGCATAAACCACAAGACATATGGTCTGCCGTGACGACGACTTGCCGTATAAACATTAAACATATCATAGTGTCTGACTGTGACTTTATGACTTCTCATATTTGAGGGCTCTCCGCTGGTGACGGAGGAGTGGACCAGATCGCGTACGATATTATAGCACTGTCGTTGTCGCATGGTCACGGTCACAAGTCGCGACGGACATCTGTGCGGATTAATAATATTGATAGAAATATTAACTGTGGCTGGCGAACAGAATGGTCCCTATAGTGGCCACGATGTCACATTTCATCTCACCACACGAAGTTCGTTGTGAGTGGATTACAATTATTACAGATCATGACGACGCCGCCGAGTACCGTAGTGTGGCATCCAGAATTTGCAGACGATGTAGTCGTCGCTCGTCGTATTGAGTAGTTCTGAATATTTTTATACAGAGTGTCTCAAAATGAACGCAAGATTTGAAACTTCTATAGATCAGTTCATTTATTTCCGTAAGGAAAAACAAAAAAGCATAATATGCCATTCCGTTCAGAAGCAGTCTAGGTTTAAACGTGAATATCGCCATGTGACCCACCCCCCTGCTAGCACTTCAGCCGATTACTCGTTCATTGAAATTGACCATCACACGCATTGGCTCATAAACTTCGTTGAGGACACATCAAATTGTACACATTAAGTTTCAAGAAACTTCGGAATTTGTTCTGGTAAACTCGTGGCCTCTTAAAATGTGGCGTTATTTTTGTGGCCGAGCTTAAGTTTTTTTTTTTGAGAAAGGAACCATAATGTTTTGACAATTTCAAACAACCATTTACTCAGAGTAAATAGAGTACAATTTTTCCAAATATATTTTTAATTTTCATTGTTTATATTATCATAAAATGATAATTTAAATAAAAGTGGAATATGTTTCAAGTTTCTATTACTAATATTTTTTGAGTCTTAAAAAAAATAACAGAAAATATTTGGGGAGAAATCGTTATTTTACATGTTTATAGGTATCTATAATGTAATCAGAATTTCAATTTCAATCTATCATAAAAAAATTATGCATCTAGCTTTACCCTGACAAAAGTAAAGCAAAGTAAATTCGTTTTTACTTAAAAAATAGTATAGTTTTCCACGATTCAATAGTTGCAGTTATTTGTATGGTTAAACCAATAACATACAATTTGCTGAATCTTGAAATAAATGTACCTACAAAATATTGGTTTTAAAAATATGTAAATTCTCTAGAGTGTTATCTATTAGAAGGTTGTTTTTTTCAAATTTGTTCGTGTTTATTTTTTTTTTCTCTAATTCCCTGTTATAATCTTATGCGCATCGTGCTAATTGCACCTAAAGGTACACATTTAAAATTTTCTAAACTAAATTAAATTTTTTAAAAAAAATCCTTCATTTACGGGATTAGTAAAAGTTCATTAGTATTCATGAGTTATAATAATATATTATCCTGGGTGCAAATCCATTTTTCTTTAATAAATAAAAACAAATAAATAATACATCGTGGTTTGTTGACAAAGCGTGTTTTTCTTGTATTGCTTCTCAGTTGTTGTTTGTGTTGTATACTTGTATCCTCTTATACATCTTAAGACAATAAGTAATAATAATTTTGTAATTATTATGATCCTTATTGGTAACTAAAAATGAGATAAATCGATCAATAATTGTCAATAGTTTATTACGATTTGGTAGTAATTAGACAGATTAGATTATATACAGAAACATTTTTCAACTATCCAGTTTTTCAATTTCAATTTTCAGAAACCTGCAGTGACAAATTTAATAAACGATTCTGATATCGAATATTTGTACTCCAAACTTTGAAATTAGCATAGTGAATAATAAATAGTAAATAAGTATATTAATTTAAGGCATTGTGAACTCTTTGAACCAACAACCCGTCATTGAACTAACAAACATAATGTAAAATACTGATTATTTTTTTGTGATAAAAAAACTGAATAAGCTTTATCCACTCAAATAATGTAAAAACACATAAAGAAAGAGGAGTGTGTAAACAAAAAGGGACTATACATTTGAAATTATTTATAATAAAAAGCTAGTTTATTTAACTTTATATAGTAATTGAAGTGATTATAAAAAAATGTACTGATAATTTTTTGTTTCATTTTTTTATTAGAAGAGGGAGATTTCGTCCTATTTAGATTTTACTCTGTAGACGCTATTGACCTTTTTCGTACCACTGCTTGTTTTTTTGGTATTATGCAAATATAAAATATTATATATTTATTACAATAAATTGTGTAATACAATAATTATTGTGATCTAACGAAGCATTTGGATTTACCTTCAATGTACCATGTAAACTGTCACAGGTTATTGTTTCTTGGTATCTTATGAAAATTTGATATGATATTTTATAAATATATCAAAATATACTATTAATGAGTAAGTAGTAATACCTAAAAGCAAGGTAAAATTGTATAATATTATATATCATATAACGAGTAACGGCTGAATGTTAATAGATAACTATGTCTAAGGTACAAGTAATTAGATTTAATTTTTATTTTTATGGGATAATAATAATTTTGTTAAAATAGTTATTGAACAGTTTGAACTAAACATATGCAATTTCTAACCAATAAATTTAGGTACTTACTGAATTTGATCATCAAGTCGTGTTTGTTATTAAAGTAACTAC